CACTCCCCAAGTGAGCACAACGGCCAGAGCTATGCCGATCTGAAACCAGGAGCCAGGAACTTCCTCCAGGTCTCTCACACGGGTGCAGAGTTCCAAGGCTTTGGGCCATCCTCAACTAGCTTTCCAGGCCATAAGCAGGGAGCTGGATGGGAAGTGGGGCTGCCAGGATTAGAGCCGGCACCCGTATGGGATCCCAGTGCTTTCAAGGTGAGGACTTTAGCTGCTAGGCATCATGGCGGGCCTCTAACTGGGATTCATACTTGGGTGGCAGGGATTCAGGTACTTGGGCCATCCTAAGCTGCTTTCCCAGGTGCATCAGCAGGGAGCTGGATAGGAAGTGAAACAAACAGGACAAGAACCAGTGCTCATATGGGATACCTGCATCAGGGACTTTGGCTTAATCTGCTGAACCACAGTGCCAGCCCCAGTGCCAGTCGCCATGGCCAGGGCTGGGCCATGCCAAAGTCAGAAGCCAACGATCTGGGCAGCATTTGGGTCTTCTACGTGGGTGGGAGGGTTCCAAGAATGTGGGCTCTCTGCTGTCTTCTCAGGTATGTCACCAGGGAGCCGGGTCAGGAGGGGAGCTGTCAGAGCTTGAACTGGTACTTGCGTGGCACTGCAGGTGGCAGTTTAACTTGCTTTAGCACAACACCAATCCTTCACAGTGTTTTGATTTTTCTTAGGATTTTGTATTTATTTATCATGTTTTGTCCATGCTTCTTCCATTTCACATTATAAAAATACTCATGTTCTATTCTGTTTTGAATTACCTTCCCACAAAGTCACTGTCTGAGGTTCCTAATCCTGCCGTCTATGTTCTCACTAGTGGCGGATGTCTCCTTGTGTTTGCCTTGCCACGTGTGATTGTGAGTTTACACTGAGCAGGGCTTGTGGTCTGGCCTGTGGGGTGGTTCCTCTTGCATTTGTTTCCTGCAGAAGCCTCAGGTGCTAGCATGGGCCTGGGTCCAGTTTTTGTGTCGGTTTATCAGCCCAGAGAAGCAGGTGAAGTTGACTCTCAAACCTAAAGGAGGTACTCGTTGTGGTTTTGAATTCTCAAGGAAGATATTATCCCTCCCGCGCCATCACTCAGCGCCCAGTGTGAGCAAGACACATCTGCTTCTCTTGTCATGTGTGGCGGGAATGCAGCTAACTGACAGCTCCAGCTGTGAACACCTTCAGGACATGCCTCTGTTTGCACGCTGGCTTTGGGCAGACGGCAGCTGCATCCCAGGGCCCGGGGCCTCCAGTGGGCAGCATTTGCTCTGGAGCTCCTTGCTGAGTTGACTGCAGCTCGGCAGGTTTGCATCTTGTCTCCTCCCCTTTTCACTTACGCAGGCATCATTCCCCAGCAAACCTCTGCTGGCTCAAACTGTGTCTCAACATTGGCTTCTCAGGGGGAACAAATGAATAATCTTATGACGCTGGAATACATTTTTTTCCTGGAATCATATAGTGCCTGGTGATGAGGGGCTATTCTCACCTCCAAGGGCCCAAGGATCATAGAAGCTATTCCTTACCCCTCCTTCCAGTAGGTACAGCAGCAACTCATATATTTATAACCTGCATGTACTCTGTTGTCTCCATTTTGGGTACAACAGACTTTCCTCTTATTTCTATCTGAGCTCTATATTTAAAATTATATCTGTGAGATCCTATCTGGGATTTCCAGATGTATGCCTCAACAGTATAGTCTGTTCATATAAGACAATAGCTGCACTTATTATTTCCTGAGCAAATGTTTTTGAAAAAGAAATTATTTAAATGTATCTACTTAATATCTAGATTGTACTCAATGTTTTTAAGTAATTGTGTATGAATTATACATTACTACAGGTTAAGACACTTAACAATTATGCTAAGATTAGAAATGTCATTTGATGTCTGGCAGAGAATAAAGACTTACAAATTGCAAGTCCACTGCCTCCTTTTAATTTTTATTTGAAGAGACAAACAGAGCTGTCATCCACTGCATTCACTCTGCAAATGCTGGGAACAGCTAGGCCTGGGCCAAGCCAATCCAAGCCTGCCACATGTTGGCGGAGGCTCCAGCACTCAAGCCATCACCCACTGCCTCCCAGGGTGCATATTAGCAGGAAGCTGGAGCCAGAAGTGGAGCCAGGACTCAAACCCAGGTATGTTAACAAGGGATTAGGGTATTTCAATCAGCGTCTTAACCACTGTGGCAAATGCCTGGCACTACTTTATTTTCAAACTGGTAACTTTTGTACATCCATATAAACTAAGAAGGGTTCTAACAGCATGCTGGCATCTAAACAGAGACCCATGGGAAAGAAGGGAAGGCTGATACTTTGAGGCATGATGTAGGGGGAAGTGGGAGTGTGCCAGGTGGATCAGGACCGAGACATACTCCACAGTCCCTTGGAGGGCTTCAAAGCAGGCAGCAACAGGATCAGGTTGCCAAGGTCACCTGGAGTAGCAGTGGGAGTTATAGACTTGAGGCCCAGAAGGCTGTAGAAGAATGTCCAATGGACCAGAAACAATAGAGTAATAGGGTAGGCCTCAGGCGCAGTAGCTAGTTCACCACTTGAGACAGCCACATCCCATAGAAGGGTGCTTGGTTTCAAGGCCCAGTCACTTCTGATTATAGCTCCCTACTAGCAGGCACCCTGAGAGACTGCACAGCATGGCTTAAGCACTTGGGTCCACCCAGATTCGTTCTGGATTCCTAGCTTTGGCCTTACTGGGTCCTAGTTCTTGTAGGCATTTTGGGAGTTAACCAGCAAGGGAGAGTGTGCTCTTCACACACCTCTCCTCCACTGTCATAAGAAAAACAAATTGGGACCAGTGCAATGACTCAACTGGTTAATTCTCTACCTACAAGTGCTGGGATCCTACATGGGTGCTGGTTTGTGTCCTGGCTGCTCCAGTTTCCATCCAGCTCCCTGCTTGTAGCCTGGAAAAGCAGCAGAGGACGGCCCAAAGCTTTGGGACCCTGCATCCATGTAGGAAACTGGGTTGAAGCTCCTGGCTCCTGATTGGCCCAGCTCTGGCCAATCCAACCATTAGCAGAGCGAACCAGCAGAAGGAAGATCTTTCTCTGTCTCCTCTTCTTTGTATAAATCTACCTTTCCAATAAAAAATAAATAAAACTTGAAAATAAAAAGCAATGGTTAGAAGTGGCCAGGACTATCTTCAAAGTCCTTGATGTGCTGAAAAGATCTAAGTGCAGCCCGGCCCACCTTTTTTCCCAATTGCAGGAAAAGCTGGAAGAGTTGGCAAAGGTGGGGATATTTTCGAAACATCAGGAATATTGGTACAAGTATGTAAAAAGAGGGCCTAGTGCAGTGGCCTAGCGGCTAAAATCCTTGCCTTGTATGCGCCGGGATCCCATATGGGCGCCAGTTCTAATCCCGGCAACTCCACTTCCCATCCAGCTCCCTGCTTGTGGCCTGGGAAAGCAGTCAAGGATGGCCCAAAACCTTGGGACTCTGCACCCGTGTGGGAGACCTGGAGGAAGTTCCTGGCTCCTGGTTTCAGATCGGCACAGCTCTGGCTGTTGTGCTCATTTGGGGAGTGAATCATCGGACGGAAGATCTTCCTGTCTTTCTTCCTCTCTGTATATCTGCCTTTCCAATAAAAATAATCTTAAAAAAAAAGAATGTAAAGAAGATAAGGTGTCCAGAGGTGGCGGGCAGCAGAGGAGCCCCTGGGATAGGCAGCAGAGGCTTGCTGAGGGAATGGCTGAGAATGCCAAATGTGCCTATTCTGGCACAAGGTATTCTGGTGCCAGAACGTGGACGACCCCAGGAATATCTGATCTGGTCTCAGAAAGTGATGAAGGTGGCCCCTCATGACCACAAGTCTTTATGAGAGAAAGCCAAGGTTACGATGAGAAAAAAGGAGATCTTAGGAAGGAAGCAGAGGTGGGAGTTCTGCCATTGTAGGAAGGGGCTCCAAGCCAAGGAATGCAGGTGGCCTGCTGAATGGAGCCTGCGGGAGGAATGCAATTCTTGTTTTTGGCATTCACTTTAGACTTCTGACCCTGGAACTGTAAGATGAATCTGTGTCAGCTTAAGTCACTAAATTATGGCCACTTGTTAATAGCAGTGATGGGAGATGAATACGAGCAGGACACTTCAGGAAAGCAGCCAAGCCTGGGCCTTAGCTGGCTGTGGAGCCATGGCGGGCTCCCCTATGTCAATGGTGTGTTTCTGGTCCCCCTGATGAGTATCTAAAGCTGAGTTACTCCCCTCCCTGTGATGTGTCCTGGTGACTGGCACCTGAGCCTGAGACCACGTGGTCAGTGGTTCTAGCCATGATGTCCCCAATTCCTGCATGCAAAGTGTGAAGGTAAGAAAGGAGAATGAAATCAGAGAGGTCAGGAAGGGTGTGTGGTGAACTGGGAGCTGGGCAGACTGCGGAGGCAACCCCAGCTTCCTACAAGCACTGCAGACTTATCCGTCAGGGAAGCCAGAACACATGCATAGGAGGGAGAGGTCCATTTGGAGACAAGCAGTGCAGCGTCAACTCCCATCTCCCAGGAGGGAAGCTATGCGGTCCTGTCTGTGTCCCACTCCCATGCTGGCTCCCGCACATCTCACATTTCCATTTCCTTAAAAAGACAATGTCCAAGCAAACAAGACTAAAACCTGAGACACAATGGCATCCTGGAGGGTGGTAATAAAGGCTGTCAGCTGGTTCAGAAGTCACTGGACACTCAGCTCTAAGACCTGGGTTCTAACTATGGGTATCCCTCCTGCCAAGCAAAGCAAGATGAGCGCTCTCCTTTGATAACTCTGCACTTTGCCCCCTGGACTGTCCTACGTTCAGCTCATGCTTATCTTCTGATGCAGAGCGGTCCAGTGTGGTTTGGTTCTCTTCCCAGAGTGTCAGTTCCTCTCCACAAACTGCCCAGTAAGCTCCCATCCCTGGTTCTCAGGGGGCTGGCCAGACCGCATCCCCTGTCCCAGGGTGGGGGATGCACGCAGTAGCATCAGCAACAAAGACGGGTCTGAGAATGGAACCCACCAAACTGCCTCGGTGCTGGTTAGGTTTTATTTTAACAAGATGTTTTCTGTCCATTTGTTTTTCAAAATATCAGTTATATCAATATCAGAAGTGTAAACAGGTACAAAATATACAGTACATAGAAACAATTTTCTTAACTAGTCTATTGCCTAACAAAAGTACGCATGAGGGAGCTGAACAAATGGATGCCAGGGTCTCTCGCTCTATGGGGAGGCGAGCTTAGCGATCCCGGGAGGAGGGTCAGTGGCTGCTTCAACCGAACAGTGACGGGAGCTTGTGTGACACAACTGAGAAACCTGGGCCCGTTCCCAGCTCTGCTGTGGGGACAAGGAAGCCACGCGGTGGGTACCCAGCCCCTCCAGCCACCCTCCGAGTACCCCCAAGAGGGGACTGGGATGCACTCATCAAGGGGGTGGGTGAGTGATAGCGCTGCCGCAAAGCCTAAGTTCCTTTGAGGCCTGACGGTCTGAGTCATGCAGGTGTGGGATGCATCTTTTTAGAAGGCAAAAATGGAAACCTTGTCTCTCTCATGCTGATGTTCCAGGAGCAGGAGCCGCGACCCACTTGCAGCCCTTCTCCGCTCTGGGTGCCCCGCTGCGCCCCAGAGTGCCACTGAGACGTGAGCCCTGCTGCCCTCCTGCAGCCACTGCACCGATCCAATAAGAGGCGTTGGGCAAGTGTTTGGAGCAGAAGCATCTGGCAGGAGGGCCAAGCAGGCCTGTTGGGCAGTGCTAGGACACGCTGCTCCTGGCTCTGTGGCAGTCGCCAGGTGTCCCAACTCCTTACCGCGGCTTCTTCACCCCTCTGAGACCCAAAACTGCAACTTTGGATGATGTTGCTTTTACTGAGCTTAGGACTCACCCACAGGGGACACTGCCAAGTTCCCTTCAGAGAGGCACCAGCCCCAGACAGGGAAAGCTTCCAGCCAGCACATCTGGATGAAGAGGGAGGCTGGGAATTGTACCAGCTGCTCCTGTGGGGGTCCTTCCTACTGAGTGGTGGCTGGGGACCAACCCATGAGGCCAGCCCAGGGCCTGGGGGCCCATACCTATCAGTCACTGGGCCCAGGGCCTTCTTCAACCTCCATCCCAGATGCCCATCTTTGCAATACTCACCTGACAGACTTGGTGGAACGCAGCCGACACGTGCCCTGAAAACCAAAAGTATGCTACAAAATCAAAACTGGTGCTACTACTAATCTCCAGCTTCTCTTTTTCACCCCTCGAGCATTAAAAACAAACCAACCGGTTTTGCAATTAAATTACTTAAAATTCTATGGTGCTGAGTTTCACAATTAAGAGAATTCTACTTGGTTCGGAGGTGGCAGCTGCACTGTGCGACAGTTGCTCCGTTTCCAGTGATTAGTTCAGCAACTCTGAAATTCGGTCCCCCCCTCCCCACCCTCCCACCCCCCCAACACGCGGTGCCCCTGTCTGCCTCTGAGCGTTCAGCCTCAGCCCTGCGCTCTGCAAACTTTTTTTTTTTTTTTATACATTTGTGGCTTGTCAGTGCTACAGGCCAGGAAGGTGCCTCACAGGTCCGTGCCATCAGCGGGTCCCAGGACATTTAGGCCACAAGTCCAGTCGGTCACAAGCTCTGTTGAGGCCAAGGGTCCTTTGGTTGCCGGGTTCTTGAAGGGGTCCGGGGGCGCCGGGGGCAGCGGTGGAAGTGGCTGGCCGCGAGCTGGCGCCTTGGCCCCCGCCGTGTGGTTGCGCTGGTGCTTGCGGAGGTGGTCCTTGCGGATGAAGCTCTTGCCGCACACGGTGCAGGTGAAGGGCCGCACACCCGTGTGCGTTCGGTAGTGGTCGATGAGCTTGGAGCGCTCTGTGAAGCGCTTCTCGCACTCGGTGCAGGGGAAGGGCCGTTCGCCCGTGTGCAGCATGCGGTGCCGGATGAGGTGTGCAGGCCTGGTGAAACAGCGGCCGCATTCTCCACAGCGCAGGGCACTGCCATCCCGCGTGCTGCTGCCACCGCCGCCGCCACCGCCACCACCGCCACCAGCACCACCACTGCCACCTCCGGCGGCGCTGGTGGATGACGGTGCCCCGGAGCCCGTCCCGTCGGGCAGCCCGCAGGTGCGCTGGTGCGCGCTCAGGCTCACCTGCAGCTGGAAGCTCTTCCCGCACGTGGCACAGGTGAAGGGCCGGCCTCCCGGGGGTGCGGCTGGGTGCTTCTTCAGCCCCGGCTTGTGGCCGAAGCCCTTTGTCCGACCAGGGTACTTACAGGGCTCAGGGAAGGGTCTTGGGGCCTGGCTAGGGTCCAGGATGGCCTCTCCGCTGTCCGGGGAGGAATAAGGTAAACCCTCCGGCCCAGTCCTGGGGTTCAGACTCACTGGAGGCTTACACCGGAAGTTCCAGCCCCATCGCACTCCTCCGAACAGCCAGTCCCCAGCGGCTGTTTCCTCCTGGGCCACGGCAGGGCTCAGCTCGCCCATGTCCCTTTCAGGGCGGGTGGGCTCCCGCAGCCCCAGCACAGCGTCCTGGCTGGGGAAGGAGCTGCCCTGACTCTCCCAGGCTCCTTCCTGCACAGGACTAGGGAAAAATCTTGTGGCTTGGCTCGGTCCAAACAGGGTCCCGTGGGCCTCCAGGTCAGTTGGGTGCACAGGGGCGGCTACCACCTCCTCCTCCTGGACTTCCGTTTTGATCACAATTTTGACATCTGCTGAGGAAGATGGAAAGCAGGCCGTCACTGTGGTCCTTGCCCACCGAGAGGGGACGCTCAGCAGCTGCTCGGCCCAGAGACCCTCAGGCTGGCTCCTGGCTGCCACGCCTTAGGAGGAAAGCTCAACAGGACCGTCACCACTCCTGCCTCTCCATTAGGCTGCCACACACCAGAGTGGACACTGTGTTCAGGCACCTGTTACATCTGTACTCGGGGTCTGTTTCTTCCCTTGGGTGTTTCATGTTAACTGGGAATTTATCCTAAGAGTGGATTCCGACCGCCAGCGGTTGTGTTCCCCATGGCCAGCTGGCTGCGGGGCTGAGATGTCTGGCAGGTGAGCCCTTGCTCTGCCCGCAGGAACAGCTCCTCTGTGAATGCTCCCCTGGACAGGCTGGTGCCATGGGAAACCGGGGCATGCGTCCCACAGCACCTTGCTGTGCTTTGTGGCCACCTGACAATAAAAACGAGCAGCTACGCTTCCCTTCATACACAGGTATTGCAATCTCCTATCCCGAGGCTTTCTATCTAGGGTCTGGGTTTTAGCACATTTTTGAAGAGGCTAACATATGGCAGAAATTATGAAATAGATAACCAGCCTTCTAAATGTTAGTAAAGAGAAGACTACTATGCAAAATTGTAACCAGTAGCTAAGAAATGGTGCTGATTTGGAGCCACAGGCTCACCCACCCGGCTGCTTAGGCCTTGGGATTCAGAAGGGATAAAGGACGGAACGGACAAGAAGTCACAGGACCACAGATGCTTGAGTGCCTGCCGGCTAAGGGGTCACAGCGGTTCACCCAAAGAGATGAGGGGTCTGGGTCAAAGCACCCCTACAGGCAGGCAGAGGCCGCCTCCCCAGCTTCTACTGCCTGTACCTTCTGTGGAGGCTGCCGTGTTGAGCTTCAGCGTGCCATCTGAGCATGCAGAAGAGGGATGGTGGGGAGGCAGATCTGCTTGCCAGGATGTGGGCGGAATAGTGGTTGGAAAGTTAGAATGGACACCTGCGATGAAGAGAGATCAGAGGCCATAGGTCAGGGAGGCAGGGAGAGCTGAGGAAACCAAGGGAGAAGGGAGCAGCAAAACCCTGAGGAGCTCTCGTGGGCATCTCTCTGAAGGCTCCAGTGGCCAGACCCCTGGCAGCCAGTGTCTGCACCTGGGAGTCCCAGTCCCGCACTGGTTCACACAGCCCCTCCTGAAGATGAGGTATCTGCTGATCTCACTGCCCAATGCTGGGGTGCAGGAAGAACATGCCTGCGGCCAGAGTAATGCACAGGGACAATATTGCAAGGCTTGGAGGGTCCCCAAGGTGACCTCTGGTCCCACTCCCACCTCCAGCTGGGATGCCCCCTGAACTGGTCCCAACAGCTCTGCCCATGCTGCCGGGATCCTTCCCGGTGTCTGCCTGCTCCGGTCAGGCACTCACCTGATGTGGCATCTGTGGAGATGTCTCCTGCGCCAGAGTCCAGCTGGCTGAGGCCCCAGGGCTCCTCCCCGATGTCAGGCTGCCCAGCTGCCCAGGCCTCCACGCCCAGAGCCTGCTGCTCCTGGAGCTGGAGCTCCCCCTCCTGTTTGATCTGCATTAACAGGTCAGGGGCAGGAACCGGGGGAGCCGAGCCTGGGGGTGGGGGGAGAGTGTGTGAGCTGGCAGCATCGTGGCCCCCTGGGCCTGGGGTACACACACCAGGCCCAGGGGTCTTACAGGGGTCCAACATCATAATGACAGCCTGACTCTCCAGGCTGTACCTTCTGTGAGGGGAGGGAAGGCAACAGCAAAAGGCCCTCAGCTTGACATCAGAGCACCTGGTGCTAGAAGTGTGGATAGAATGGGGAAGGATGCGTGGAGAAACACAGACATTCTTAGGGATAGGCTGCTGGTCCACGGGGGAGTCTAAGCCCTCCTGGGCAGTCTCACTCTTACTTCACACTTGGAAAGCCCAAATAAAACTGAACTGCAATCACTGTCCCCTCCCCCCAGAGCCTCTCATTACATATAGGTATTTAAGTGAGACCAAAAGAAAGATGACTGATGCAGGAATCTAGAAGAAAATGCAAAGTCAAATTAAGCCTTAGAGTGGGAATGGCAAGTGACCCATGGGACTGTGGGGATAGCGTGTAGGCCTTCAGCATTATGAAGCCAAGAGCCACGAGGACGGAAGAGCCCTAGCTGAGAATTTAGGAGTAGAGAGCTGCCTCTACCCGCGGGGGGCGGGGGCGGGAACCTGCCCACTTCTCCAGAGCCCACCTCCTGGACAAGTAGAGAGAGGGTTTGCCAGTATTAGAATCCCACCGTCATGTGACATTTATGCTGTACACATGGTGCCAAGATTCTAAGATGAAAAACTGCAGGGAGATTGGCTAAGAGCATCTCCAGCTGGGAGGACCCAGCACAGCCAGCACAAATTGCTCCACAAAGGCATCACCATGAGGGGCTCTATTAGAGACGAAAACCAGAACAAACACGAAAACGTCACAGACCAAAAAGAGAGCCAAAGGGCTATGAGAGTCACGGCAGAAATAAAGGATACTGAATGATATGTAACACGGCTATGTGTAAAATCTGCAAAGAAATAAAGAAATGGAATCTCTAAGGAAAGGACAGAAAATTATTTCTTAAAAGGTAAATCTGAAAAGACACCCCAAAATTCTAGAAATGACAAAAGGACTTGAATTAAAAAACATAACTGATGGCTTAACAACAGACTGAAAATAGTTGAAGAGAAAATCAGTGACCTGGAAGATAGTTCAGAGAACAGCACTGAGAGCGAAATGAAAACATGACGGAGAAGTTAAGAGACAAGGAAAGAAGGATGAGAAGTTCTGACGCAGGCTGGTAGAAATCTGAAAAGGAGGCAAAAGAGAAATAAGTAAAGCTGCCATTTGCAATGCTGGCATCTCATATGGGCACTGGTTTGATTCCTGCCTGACCTGCTTCTGATCCAGCTCCCTGTTAATGTACCTGGGACAACAGCAGAAGATAGCCCAAGTGCTTCAACCCCAGTATCCACACGGAAGGTCTGGAAGAAGCTTCTGGCTCCTGGCTTCATCCTGGCCCAAACAGAGCCATGCGGTTATTTGGGGAGTGAACTAGTAGATGGAAGATATGTCTCTCTCTCTCTCATCTCTTGCTCTCTCTTCCTCCCTTCTCCTCCTGAAATTCACCTCTTTAGACAAAATATCAAAGGCATTATGAGCCTACAGTGTGAAGGAACACACTGGTACTCAGGTAGGAAATGAAACAATCAAGGCAACAGTTACATGAAATGGAATAAATACCATTTATTCCAGAGGCAAAGAGAAAAATCTTAAAATGTATCAGAGAAAAAAAGAATGATGTATTTCAGATGGAAATATTTCCTTTGGCAACTAGGATCTAAAAATAATAAACTATCTTCAAATGCTGAGAGAAGGTTTGTCAACTTTTATGAAGCTGTTTTAATTTGATTGCACAAATTAGAGATAGTATGTGAAAAATTTGTAAAATCATCTTGCTTATGAACAGATGTGCAAAAACTCTCAATGAAGGAATTACAGACAAACCCCAACAATGCATTTCAAACAGCAAAAAGCAGTAATACAGCAGAGGAGCTGGGTTGATCCTGAGGACTCGGGGCTGAGTCAATCCTGGCAAGTATAACTCACTAAATTAACAGAGTAATGGGGTGGAAGCAATACGATCATCTTAGCAGGTATAAGAGCAGCCTTTCGCTCTATTTCTGGCATACAGCTGCTGTGCAAAGAAAAAGAAAAACCTCCCAGTATGGAATCCCTGAAGATGAGGGGTAAAATGTAGACCCAGAATTTCTGATGTGTGACTTGGCAATCTTGTGTTTTAGTAAATTCCTCAATGTGATGAGAAGTATGAGGGTATTTCAAAAAGTTTATGGGAAAGTGGAGTTAAAATATAGATTTTGTTGCAAAAAAATGTTTTAAATGTCTATTTTTATCTATTTGAAAGTCAGAGAAATAGAATCTATCTACCTTTCATCTACTGTTTTCAGAGCCCAGATGCCCACAACAGCCAGTGCTGCTCAGGCCAAAGCCAGGCTGCCAGGACTCTGTGCAGTTCTCCCGCATGGGCAGCAGGAGCCCAAGGCCTTGGATCGTCCATCTGCTAATTTCCAGGTACATTAGCAGGAAACTGCATTGCAGGTTGAGTAAGCTGGAACTCAAACTGGCATTGGAATATGGGGTGTGGGCTTTGTAGGCAGTGGATTAACATTTTGGGTCATGATGTTCCCCCGACCCTCACCCCAATTTTGGAAATCCATGCAGCTTTCTCACAATACAAATCTTTAATGAACTTTTTGAAGATTCCCATGTGCAACTGCAAAACTGGCTGCCTATAACCTGGATATTACTCAAAATATCAAGGTATGGGGAGAAACAAAATGGTAGAACTCCCAATATTTATTTTCATCTTAAAACACGGGAGTTGGGGGGATGGACAGAAAAAACATGAGAAGCAAGAGAGTATCAAAACTAATCAAATTCTGAAAATGAATCTAGTTATAGAATTGTGAGATAAAATAACCTAAGTGTCAAACTCCAAGGAACGGAAACAAATAGAGACCGATTAGGTGAGCTAATTCAGACTCAGCTTACAACTGAAAATATGAGGAGGTTCACTGTCAGGCTAATAGAGTAAAGTCCGAGTGAGGGACCAGAGAGAAGGTAAGGTGGCACTCAAAGAGTAAGCTCACACATGTGTCCCCGGTCGTGAAAGGCATCAGCAGCTGAAGCAGGATGGAGGCGAGGAACCCAGGTCCAGACATGGCAGGCCACTGAGGAACACTGCCCGCTGCCCACAGGTGCCTGAAGGCAGCCAGAGGAGGGAGACCACATGCAGGGACAGTGGGCAGACTGAGAGCCGACTGCCACAGCCGCTGCAGAAGCCAGAAGATGGGCAGATGATTTTCAAAGGCTGAGGGGAAATAACGAGCTAATTGGAATTATCGCTTTCCACACATAGGAATGGAATAGGTATTTGTAGATACATAAACTCACAGGTGACCACCCACTGAGAATTCATTAGCATGAGACCCACAGAAAATCACTCCCGAAGGAAGAATAGTTGCTAAAAGCTTCTCTAGGAGAACAGAACTGGAACATATAGCTTTCAAGCCAATTGACAAATAATAATAGTTTAAGGGCCAAAGCTGCTACCCTACAGGATCTCCAATGTGGAACGCATGGCTAATTTCAGGTGTTCCAGTTTCCACATTAGGAAAGCAAATGGAAACAGGTGAAATAAATTTTCACAGGATACTTCATTTGACACAATATATTGAAAATGCTATTTCAACATATACTCAATATAAAGATGACTTACAATCTTTTTTATCCATGTATCTTTCAGACATACCTTAATCTTTCGGACACTTTGGCATGAATGTATCTTTTTTTTTGTACATATCTTATACAATTTTCCAAGTTTGGTATGCGTCTTACCCTACTGAGCACATTTCAGGAGCTGCTCCATGGTTACATGTGGGTAGTGTTTTGGACAATTAAAAGGTGGTGATCATCAGACTGAAAATGTGAAAGACTGGGCCATGTGCAGTTTACAAGAGACACAGGGAACATAGCAGGTGAGGAAAGCAATGTAAAGAACTAGAAGAGACAGAATCAACAACTTAAAAGTGATACAACGATACCATATTGGATCAAATCGATTTCAAAAAGTTTGATAAAAATTGGAAACGCCACCATGCATAGTCCACTGACAGGAAGACAGAACAATTCTACCAATTCACACCAACCCTGCTTTGAAAAGAAAAGAGCCAAGACTGATACAAGTCCAGGGAGGAACAGACAAGCTGCCTCCCCAGACAGTCTCTCTGGCATGGGTCAACCCAGCCAGCTGGCCCCAGAGCACCCCCATGAGCAAATGTGGCCCAGTGACTTCAGGAGAAACCAACTGTGCCACACAGAACATCAAGGAAAAAACCAACACTTTGTGGTAGTAAGACAAATTTCAGCAAACTGAAAAAAACGTTACTACCTTTTCTAACCTTAACACAATTAAGTTAGAAATTAGTAATTCCACATGTACTGGATTTTTTTCCCCCCAATGTTGCTCTCTAAATAACCCAAGTATCTAAGGAAATAGCACATTGGAACCGAGAAGATGTTTGACCCAATGTTAATGAACATGTGGGTGGCAGCCACTGTGGTGCCTACAAGGCCTTTTATAGCCTGGTATGTTTATATTAACAAAAAGAAGGTCAACACTAGTTGGTGAGCAGTCAATGGAAGATATTAGAGAAGAAATAAGCTATCAACAAAACCTTATAACAAGCAGAGGGGAAATAATAATTATAAAAACAAACAAACAAACAACAACAACAACAAAGAGGGAAAACTGAATGAAGAGTGGTAATTGGGGCCAGCACTCTGTTGCCTCAAGTTAAGCCAACAGCTGATATCTCAGTACTTCCTGTGAGCACCGTTTGAATCTAGGCTGCTCCCGCTCCCTGCTACCGCATCTGGGAAGCAGCAGAAGACGGCTCAAATGTTTGGGTCCCTGCAATCCAGGTGGGAAACCCAGAGAGTTCCAGGTTCCTAGCTTCCACCTGGCCCAACTCCTGCTCATGTGGCCATCTGGAGAGTAAAACA